TTGATGATGCAGAATAATCTCCTCATGTCAAAGTCCTTAACTTCATACCTGCAAAGTCCTTTCTTGGCATATAAAGTAACGTTCATGGGTTGCAGAGATTGGGATGTGGATGTCTTTAGGGGTACAGGGGGGAGTATTTTGAGCTTATCACAGCCACATTTTCTGCTAACTCTGCACCCACATCTGTTTATAAGACTTTCACCAGATCTAAAGCGGAGATCTTGGAGACAATGATGCCTAACTATGCTCTTTGACTTTGAAGAGGTTTTTCTCCAGATGACCACACACGAAAGCATCCCGTACTAGAACAATCTGTACTCATTCAATCCATTTCAAGTTAGTAAATGAGAAGTGAGAACCTGTGCTTCAGGCACCACGGTAATTTCAGAGATGAGTACGGGATATTCTTTGCCCACAGGAACAAACCGGGTAGAACTAGAGGAACAGTAGGTCCACTTTCCTTTACAAACAGTTAACAATAAACAAGAAATCAATAGGAATGAAGAGCAGGAGCCACACTCAGACAAAAGCCCCTGGTCCCAAATTGATCAAACGCCAGGTGGGGATGTATTTACAACTACTTCAAAAACATAGCTGAGAACTGCTTGGGGGGGTCTCTAGACTCTTGGTTTTGTGGGGGAGGGTCTGAAATAATTTAAAGTTCATGGAAATTTTGCAAAAATAAGAACAATAGTCATCCCTTTCCCCAAATTTACTATTGTTACAATTTTTCTTCATTAGCTTTACTATTTGCACTCTCTCACATTCACTCCCATTCATAAAATTTTCTAAACCTTCTGATAATAAATTCCTTCCATGGTGATCTTTTGCTCTTAAATACTTTCTAGTGTACTTCCTTAGAATAGGAATATTTTCTTACATTGCAATTATCAACTTTAGCAATTTGGCATTGATCTAATACTTTTATCTAATCAACCATCAAATTTCCAGTTATGTCAACAGATTCAATATAGCCCTTAATGTTTAGCCCTCCTTCAGTACAGACTCAAGGACCAGGTATTGCATTTAGCTGCCATATCTCTTTAATTTCCTTGATCTGGAATATTTCCCCAGCTCCTTTGCCTTCGGTGACATTGACATTTTTGAGGAATACAATACTACTTTTAATAGAATGTTACTCATTTTGGATTTGTTTGTTTTCTCATGTTTAGAGTCAGGTTATACAGTCTCTGCCTCAATATTATGTATGCGATGGTATGTCCTCTGGGTTTCACATCTGGAGACACAATGCCCATCTGCCCTGCATTGGTCACATCAATTTTCATCACCTGGTCAGAAACGTTATTTCTCTACTGTATAGTTACTTTTTCCCTTGCAATTAATAAGCCATCTGCAGGAAGACACTTTAAGACCATGAAAATAGCCTGATCCTCAGGAAAATGTTCCCCTTTGTTTAGCATCCATTGTGTCTAAATCCATCTTTACTATAATAGTTTCAAAATGATGATTTTCCAGCCCCAGCACTCTCCACATTTACTAGTCAGCTCCTTGGTTCAGTAAGCGAGGTTCTTCCCTCATTTATTTGTCTATCTACCTTTATATTTACCAGTATGGATTCAGTAATTCCTATTTTTTATGGTTTATCATTTGTGCTGGACTTAAATATTTCAGTGCTCAAATTATACCAGATTCAACCAGCAGAAATCCCTTTGATGTGGCTCCTGTATCCTTATGAAATGTCCCTCATCATTTCTTTTTTCAAGCATTTGTTTACTTTCTAGTATAACGTTCCAACTTCATCCAGTACCTACCTTGGCCCAGCTCTGGAATCAGTCATTTCTTTGAGGAGCTCTTAGAAGCCAAGATTTGAGTGCTAGGTGCCTCTTGCTACTGGGGAATCTTTGCTTCTAGGTCCTTTCAGGTCCTTTGCTTCTAGGTCATTTTATGAAATGTATATATTTCATAAAAAATATACATGTATTTACATATACTATACAAATAATACATATATACACACTTATACCTTATATTTTATTACATACATACATATACATTTATATTACATATATGTACATATAATACACATACACATTTACTTACATGTATGCATACACATATATATATAAAATCATGAGTTCTCGCTGAAGCCTCTAATCCAATCCACCCTCTAGGCTTCCTTCTTGCTCTCCCCTAGTCCATATTTTGATGTCCCCTTTCTATATGGAAATCCCAACAGCATTAACCCCTTTCCATTTTCCCAGTGCCACAATACATCTAAAATGTTTCAAAATTGCGTGACCTGTCCACCATGAGATGAATAAGGTATATACAACAAAAAGAGATCAGGAGTTGGCTGCAGTCTTGCCACGCTCAGCCTCACCCTAAGCAGAAGGTAAATAGTGCAACTCTGGGTTCACTGGCTACTTAGGTTTGTTCTTTCTTTTGCTTCTCCCCCACCCCCTAACTGTGGTTGTAGTTTTATCTGAAATACAATTGGGTTCATTTGTTTCAGTCTGTTTTGTTTTAGGATTTTCTCCCCCTTCCCATCTTGTTACAATTTTGATTTTGAATATGTAGAACACCAACATGCTTCCAAAAGTCAAAACTATACAAAAAATATTCTCAAAGAAGTGTCACTCTCTCCTGAATTACCCCTAGCTGCTCCCTCCAGTAAGTATTCAATTCACTGCTTGCTCATTTCTATTTCTTGTGCTTCTTTTGGTAACAATAAGCAGACACATGTATGTTTTATTTCCCCCAGCTTTCTTACCCAAAGGATAGCACTCTATGTATCTTCTTTTGCACTCCCATTTTTCCAGTTAATATTTCCTGGAAATCATTCCACGTAAGTTCATAGAAATGCCTTTTTGTTTTGTGTTTTATTTTTGATACAGCTTCACAGTTCCATTGTGTGTAGGTACTATAAATCTCCTAGTCTTAGAGATTCAGGTAGTTTCCCATATTTTACAATTACAAATAACACTGCAATGACTAACTTTGTGCACATATGTTTTTATACTATTGGAAGTATATCTTCAGGGTAAATTTTTAGAAATAGATTTCTGTGACCAAAGGATAAAGCACATGTACTTTTATTAAGTATTGCCAGACCATCCTCCACAGGGCTGGTTCCCACCAGCGATGAATGAGAATGCCTATTTTCCCTCCTCAAAGGAGTATATTGTCAAGCTTTTTAATTTTGCCAATCTGACAATAAGGATATCTTACTGTAATTTTAATTTATATTACTTTTACTGTGATGTAAAACATCTTTTCATTTATTTATAGTCATTTTTTGTCTCTTTTCATGAATTGCCTGTCTCTGAATTTTGCCTCTTTATAGGAATTTTGGTCTCTTCTCCCCCTTAATTTCTAAAAGTTCTTTTTATATGAGGGATATTAGCCTTTCATCTATCATATGCATCACAAATATTCCCAGTTAGTGATTTGCTTTATTTTGTTTCTGGTGATTTTTGCCATGAAGGTTTTTATTTAATGTAGTGAAATTTATCACTCATTTCTTATCTAGTATCTAGATTTTTAGTCATAGTTAGAAAGCCCTTATGTATATCCAGTTGCAGAGGAATTTTCCCATCTTTCTTCTAATTCTTGTTTCATTTCATTTTTAACATTCAGACCTCTAGTCCAGTTGCAGTTCATTCCTGTACATGGTATAAAAAAATAAACGTGCTTCATATTTTTCTAAATGGCTATCCAGTTTATCCCAGTGCCATTTGTTATAAAGATCATCTTTGCCCCAGTGATTAAAGATCTCTCCTCTGTGCTATACTGGATGTCTTTATGTCACTGTTTATTTCTGGACTTTCTCTTCGAATCCAATGGTCTGTCTGTCTAGTCACGCACCAGTACCACATTGTTTTTATTCTAGAACCTTTGTAGAATGCCTCAGTATCTTTTAGGGCTGGTCCCCTCTCAGAGCTCTTTCTTTCCAATGTTCTCCTAACTAGTCTTGTGCATTTGTTTACCCACATGAATTTGAATATTAATTTGCTCTGCTCTTTAAAAATGCTCATTGTTATTTGTATTGGGGTTACAGTAAATTCATAAATTAACCTGGGGAGAACTGTTTTCTTGAGCAAGTTGAAGCATGCCAAGAGCAAGCCATATTACTCCTTCTGTTCAAGTTATTGGTACTTTTAGATCTGATGTTCTCTCTTAGACACTTAGGTATCTTCAGTCATTAAATAAAATTAACAAATATTTACTGGACAGCTGTTATGCCCTCAGCACTATATTAAATACTACAGAAGTAAAGAAATACATTCTATCCTCAAGCAGCTTAGAATTTCATGAGAGCAACAGACTAACACACCCAAAGCAAAGCAAGCAGAGCAAGACCCCATGGAAAGAAGCCCCCTACCGTTTGGCCAGACCCTACATGCTAGGCAAGCTCAGAGGAAGGGGACAGAAAGGAAAGCTAGAATAACCAGGGAAGCTTTGGGCTGAACTGAGACAGGAATCACGTGCCTTGGAGGCTATGGAGGATTTAGGCGGGTTGGCAAGGAAGAGGGGCAGGCAGGTAGAAGCTCAGAGGTAAACTGAGCATGACAGGCTCACGGGGCAGAAAGCCCACAGCTGGACTCAGTTGGAATACTGGAGACGGCACCATTCCTCTTTTCAAGTCTCAGAGTTATGTCTCAGTGTTAATAGCTCCCAAATCCTCCTTTCAATTTAATACATTTCCTTAGTGAACATCTACTGGGTTTCCAGATACTAGTTTTTTAGAATGGTAATTTCTGTACATCATTACCTTTTCTGGGAATGGTCTAGGGCTGTGCCATCCAACAGGGTAGCTACTATCCACATGTGGCTATTGTGCCTTTGTGACCAGTGCAAGTGAGAACTAAATTTCTCTTTTTATTTTGCTTTAATCTAGATCATTAAAATGGAATCAGTGTAAAATATTTTTCATTTGAACCTAACTTCTTTGTTTTGGTGAGGAAAACAAACTAAAGTAAAAAAAAAAACAACTAAAGTAAAAAAAACTACTTTTACTTTAACTATAGCACTGTGTAAGTTATTGTTGTATTGTGGTGTGTGTGTCTATTGTCCCTTTTTTAATATGACAACATTACATGGCTTATGTTGTACAGCACTGGTCCTAGAGCCTTACAACTCAGTGTGGTCTAGTCAGCATCACATGGGAGCTATCCCTGACCTTCAGAATCTGCTAGGCTACTAAGATCCCCAGGTAATTCTTACGCACAGTAACAGAAACACTGATCTGGATGACTGAGAAGCAACCAGGCCTCTGGTAGCACCCCAGAGTGGCCCCTGTCCTCCTGGGGATGAGGAGAGGAGCGGGGACAGTAGCAGGGAGATGCCTGCCTGCCACTGTGATGTCACAGAGTAAACCCCATGCGCCAGCCAGCCCCACCCAGACTGGTATCCTGGCTTCAGGGCATCCTTTCCATCCTCTCCAGTCCACCTCACACCACCTTACCCCTCTGCTGGCAAGAGGGCACCTGATTCACCATCACGCCAGGTATTCACTCCACGCAACTAATTAAGACACAGCAGAGAGAAACAGAAACATCTTTGCCTCAGATCTTCCAAAGTGGATGAGCAGTCCCTCTCAACTGATTCAAAATGCTTTCCTCACCCAGAAGGTAGGTTGATTTCTAAAACATCTCATAAATTTCTCAGGTGTAGTACCCTTAATGTTGGATTATAATACAGGTTATACAAATTCATCGTTTATGTCACATACTCATAAGAAGCTTCAGAACATACTGTAGGATTATACAACAAGGAATAAAAATTGTTATTCAAGGCCAGTTTTTAGGGATAAACCCAGTGAGATCCATACCTTGACCTCGTGCTTTTTCATCTTCTTCCATTGTACCTTTCATTTCTTCTTCCTTTGCCTCTCCATCTTTTCCTCTCTGCTCCCAGGTCTGCTTAGAGCACTCTAGCTCTTCTTCTTTCCCTCCATCTATATGCTTCCTGTTGCCAAAATCTGGCTCCTGGTGAAAGGCCCAGGGCTGGTGGCAATGACAGAGACGTGTATCACTCTAGAGAACTGAAAGAGCAGATATTAAGTTCTCTGCAAGAGAATGGCGAGGCTTCCGTGTGGCCCTGCCGAAAGCCGGCCCCGATCTAGAATCTGCCAGAACTAGGGCAGCCAGCACAAGCCCAGGCTCTTCCTGATCTCAGAGAGTCTCGAGAACCTGCCCAGATACTGTCAGGCCCAGGAAGACCCTCACAGAGAGCAGAGATGCCTTGGCTTGTCAAGCAGCTGAAGTGAGGGAGCTCCGAAGAAAGGAAAGGATAAGACCTCGGAAAGGGACCCTTCTCGGACTGCAGAGAAGAGCTGGCGGTTCCGAAGAGCATCCAGAGTATGAGCTCAGCCAGTGTCCCTAGTTCAGACGCAGGCCACAGTGAACAGGCCACAAATAGGGGAACCCTCAGAAGTGGCCTGGAACACATAGAAAAAGCCAGCCAGTGTAAATTGTACTTATTTTTATTATTGGCTTATGACGGAACGTGGGAGAGCATTTATCAGAAAGTATCTGTGAAGTTTAAAGTACAGTTAATCCATTTCCTCATTCCACAATCTGGCCGGCAATCCGCGTGTTTTGTTAAGGGCAGCCTGGCCACGAATCAGGAGGTTTTGAACACTGACTCTACCACTTTGTAGCATTGTGGCCTAGAGGAAGGCCAACGCTGCGAACGTTTCCTCGGTCTAGAATGGAGGGGCCGCCACTCCTCCAGCTGGTTGTGAGAATTAGTGAGATGTTGAAGAGTCGAGCCAGTTTTCTCGATAATGGATCCCTTCCCCTTCCACTTGCGGCCTTCACAGCACCCCGGTGAGAGCCACCCCATTCTCCTAATCTACCTCTGCGGAAACAATCGCCCAGGGAGGCTGTGTAACCTGGGCACAATCAGTCTGGCCGCAGGTAGAGTCGCGAGTAGAACTTGGATCTGCTGAGGGTTTGTGGTTCCGAAGTTTCACCTCCTGTTCCACGAAATGGGGCAGAGACAGAGGCTTACTTTGCAACAGGCGCCAGGGCCCAGTACCGTCCGCGGAGGGGCAAGGGCCGGGGTGACGGCTGGTTGGCCTCCTCAGCAGCCCCGCACCTCCTGCCCCTCGGCCTAGGCCTACAGGCCTGGCTGGGAGGCCTCTCTCGGCCCGCGGGCCTCCGCACTCCCCGCGGCTGGGCCTCGCGCGGGCTGCAAGCAGGTGCGCCCGGCCCACTCGGGGCCCACGCGTCGGCGCCCTCGGCCCGGCCCTCTCCGCGGGCGCCCGCCGCTCCTCCCCAGCGGGAGGGCCTCGGACGCGGCTCGCGGCGGGGGCGGGAGGCGGCCGAGAGGGAGCACGGGCCCCAGCGCCGCGCCCAGCCGCTCCGGAAGTCCCAGGCCCGGGGCCGCGGGGTGGGGCCTCGCCCTGCGATCCCTACGCGCTCGGGCCCGTCGCCGTGGCAACGCGCGCCGGCTGCTAGGCGACCGGGCCGCCGTAGTAAACCGAGGGCGGGGGTGTTACTACTCGGGGGAGGGTCTGCGGGGAGCTGCAGTGGACTCGGCCTGGGCGGCGCGGGCGCGGAAGCGAGCAGGAAAAGAAGGGACGAGGGGTCACGAGGAATGGAAATGCGCCCCTGCTCTGTCCGCCGGCGGCCGCGCCCTAAGCTCCCAGCAGGTCTCCGTCTGCAGCTCCCACCCGCCCATCCGCGGGCCTCGAGCCCCCAGCCCAGCGGGCCCCGAGGGTGGGTCACCCGCGTGAGCGATTGCCCCACAGGATGTGCAGATGTGGCTGCGGCTCTGATTCACTCCAGCTGCTTGGGGCATGCAAGAAAGGCGGCTTCCTCTCCTGGAAATGACTGCATTAGCAAAAGCTCTCAAACAATTCCATTAAAAGCGGAAAGGGAAAGGCGGCAGAGAGGAGAGGCTTAAAATGTTTTTTTCTTTAGTCCTTCCCGCTGAACATACGTAAAAGTGTTCCCAGATCTCGGGACCCATTTTAGAAAGACAAGAGTCATTTTTATTCTGAGCATTTGGGGCCACTTAAACCCCAAATGTGGACATTAAACGTGGTGACCGTTGCGATTTACCGAAGCTGGGAAATCCCAGACCTGAGTGTCTTATAGTGATGTTAATATTTTGGACACTCAAGAGTGGGCATTTTGGTGGCATTACACTTCCCTTCCGGGCTGGGAACATCCACATCAAAATGTCCTTTGTGAAGACCTTGAGTATCTTAATCAGTGAGTGAGTCAAATATGAGGTATGGAAATAAAAGCTGTAAGGCTGCAAAATCCCTGGTGGTTCACCATATATCATCCGAGAGGCTTTAATCAGTAGGGAATCACTGAGCTTGGGAAAGGACATAACATTTCTATCTGTCATGAGCTTCGGAGCATTCCTTTTGTACCCTGGTCTCTGTGAACTGAAGATAATACACATTGATGAGATCATTACTGTTCTGTAGGGTTTGCTCATCAAAAAGCAGGAATGTTTCCACAGGTGGGCGGAAATGTATTGGCAGAGGATCTGTTCGATGAAACTATGGGTGCATCTGAGTGGAAAGGCATAGGGCGTGTCTGTAGACCTGTTGTGGGCCCTCTTTTTAGCTTCTCACCACTCTCGTGTGTGAATCAGGAAGATTCATGTGTCCTTCAGCAGTAGAAGGCTGTTTGAACACTTCTTTATTCTCATATTCACCCATAGGCTTCCTAATTGTATTCATGAGCCTGGTTTCCATTACAAACTTCATTCATTCATGGATGCCGGACAGTGCTAGGCTAGAATGAATAAAATGCAGTTGCTACTATATCTAGCAACTTAACGTCAAGCGAGCATATTATGAGTTGTATGAGAGAGGCATATAGTGGGATGTACAAAACAGAGCCAGGACATGTGGATAAAGCCAGTGACCACAGAAATATTTACAATCCACTCCAGCTTTTTGTCTTCTGAGTAGGAGAAAGGAGTTCATTAATAGGGTGTGGGTCAGAAATCCGACTCCTGGGAGAAGGACAGAGATACTACTACCAGAGAGGGCAAATGAATCTTTCTTGGGAGGAGATGCCCATATGGATGCCTTAGTCCTAGGCTTTGACATTAGAGAGGTGGTGTGCTGTGCAATCTTCTCTGGCTCAGCATTCTTACCCATTGTTAATTTACAAAGTTTGTTTACAAAGTTTGTGTGAGTGTCCCAAAACCCTGGTTCCTTTTTATGTGTACCTAGTAAATATGATGCTGTACAGTGCAGGTAACCAAGGACCTTAGCAAATACAGGTCAGTCCCAACCCTTGGCGTCACGATGTCATAAATGTTCAGTCGCAGATATATCCCCTCGGGGATGATCCTGAGATGGTAACAGTCCAACAAACCAAAGTTAAATACTGTTTTGAGATGTGTAATCTTTGTCTTTGAAGCTGACTCATGAGCTTCTGAACCTAACCTAATTATATTTATGTTGCCTTGACTAGCAATTACCTTTTCTGTTCTGAGAGGAAAGAGAACAAGAAAATATTAACATGCCTAAGTTAAAATGAAAGAAAGTGAGTGGAATGCTGGGCTCCGATTTTTGTGGCCAGGCAGAGAAACTCATGTTTTAACAAAAAGAGGAAATTAGCCATTATGGCCCAGGAACCTTTGGGTCGGGGGGTTCTCAAGATTTGTCACAGTTAGTAATGAGACAGCCAGACCGACAGCCAAGCCACACAAAATGCACAGCCTCTTCAGGGGTAGATTCAGGCTTTGGGGAAGGCCTAAAATAATATGATTTTGGAGGCCTTTTTTAAGAAAAACAATACAAAATGACACAATTAGGTAAGAGGGTGTTGGAAGGGGCCTGAATAAGTGGGGGAACCACAAAGCTGAAGTTTTATTAGCTTCACTTTACTCTGCTTCCACCTCTAGGCCTCCTCCCGTAACCCCCTTGAAGAGTGTGCCGCTCCCAACCCCTTTTCCCTGGAGAAGGCAGATTTCAGGCTATTAAGGCATTAGGGGGTGCGGTTTATGAGCAGAGGCAATAAAAACCAAAGACATAAGACGGTGCCAAATGGTGACTCAAGTGGGATATGAGAAGTATCTGCAAATATCTGAAGGGTGTGAGCACAGAGAAGGGGAAAGAATTGTTCCCTGTTCTGGGGTGAAAAGGGAATGATCAGATTTGGTAAAGAAAAATGTGCCGCAGACTCCTCAGGAAGCATTGGCTGGCTGTATTTTCTGATACTGTGGAGTTGTATTTCCCATGGGAAGTATTTGAGGATCTATTGAGTCACTGAAAACTGAACTTGGCCACAAAAAATGTGCTACAGGAAACAATCCGACAAGACGCTCTCAAGGGAGCGGCTGGATACCCCCAGAGTTCATCCTGAACCCTGAATTCCAGAAGGCTGACACAGGGTTTTCTACAGATTAGTGTGTGGGGAGGTGGCCCAAGGTAGAAAAAAAAAACAGGGAGGAGCCGCCCCCGCCGCTCCCGGCGAGCTGCCGGGAGGGCAGGCTGGTGCCTGTCGAGGAAAAATGTAAGGAGACAGCGCCACCCAGCGGTGCGGTGAGACCTGTAGCCAGGAAACCAACGGCCCCTCCACCGGTGACAGGCGACCACAGAATACTGTCATGGTGGATACAGGGTCCTTGGGTGTTGCGGGAACCACACCTGGCGGAGAGTGCAGGTGTGACAAGTGGGCCGTTACTAGCAGTCAGAGAAGAGGAGAGACTGTATTGATGAGGTGACAGAGAAGCGAGATGCAAAGAAACTCCTTTGGCTAGAATGTGGACATGTCCAAACCCTTGGAGAGGAGACTGCCTTTGATGCCCTCCAGTACCTGCACAAACACAGAAAGGGAAAACCGTGCCCCAGAGGCTGGCCCATCTGGAAGAGGTGGGGGAAGGAAAGGGCAGGGTAATGGTGGGCTTTTTGACTTACTGTAAGCCCAAAGTTTGTCAAGCAGGTGTTATTTTATGGTACATTAAATCTCTGGCTATGTATTTTTCAGTCTGTTCGTCTTTTTACATGTTGTTAGGTTGGAGTGGTGATTCCCAAGCTCCTTACCCGGGGAACCAGAAACCGGAAGTCCATCTGGAGTATACACTGAGAGCTTTGTAAAACTACAGATTCCTGGGCCCCACCCCAGAACCACCATGGAATCTCAGGATGGGGCCCGGGAATCTGCCTATTTTCCAAAGTTTCAGAGATTGTTCTGATAGGAGTCAGAGCTGAGAACTGCTGCTCTTGAATAAAGAAGAGAGTTTGAGGACTTTACCATCAAAACGAATCATTGGAATGGAATATGGGAAGTGTTAGGAGAAGGTTGCAGCGCGACAAGGACAGAGGGAAGGAACTGTTCTTAGGGAGGAAAGAAACATTTTCAAAGAACGAGTGGCTTTTACACTGGTCTTGATTAGAGGCAGATCACCAGGTAAAAAGAGATTGAAGACATTCCAGGTAGAAGGAAGAGCATATGCAAAGGCGCAGAGGATGAAAGCCAAGGGGTGCTTAGGGATTTACAGGCAGTTGCTTGCACCCTTGTCCCAATTAGTACAATTTCTGAAGACAGAAAGAACAACTTGTACTTCTAGATGGTTGGTGGGAAGAAGATACTTCGTCAACCCCTTACTGATGTGTCAAATTACTTTTTTTAAGTTTTCAAAACACTTTCATAGAGAGAATTTTTATTCCTCTGCCTGAAGGTTGGAAAAGAAATGGTATTTAGCCATAGCATCGCAGACCCCGGAATGCATTTCTCTACAATCCTACTCCATCAGCATCCTCAACCCCATCCCACCCCACACTCTGTGCTCAAGCATCGCATGTGGAGGGATGTTACTAATCCTGGCTTATGATGCTAACTGGAGCATGTAGCCCACCTATGACACACATGGAAGCTATTTCATACCCATGGCTCTACGAGGCCCTGACATTGCAGATGACAGAGCTTATTAAAGGGATGGAAGACCCTACACAAGAGAATGGGAACTTTCACGGTAATGGTGACCCTGTAATATTTTCTGTGTCTGCCATAAAATCAAGCCCACCCCTTCACACCAGATATCTAGGGAATGGCAGTTAGATGGAAACTAAGTCATCATTTATTCCTTAAACTTCTGTCTGTGAATACAGGTCCTTTCTTCTTTGTGCCTAACTAATGCCAGATCTTCATGGGCAGAACAACTGGGCCCTGATTATAATGCCAATTATTAAATGCCCAAGTTCCCTGCAGGGCAACATTTAATCATGAGGCCCTCCAAAAAGTATGAGCTAGAAGGGGAGGGATTGGAGGAGGAAAGGTGGGGGAAGGCAGTTTTCATTCTTGCAACTTTAAACCAAAGGGATTTGGAGCTCAGACAGCATCCTTCAGTCCTTCTGGACAAGCTGCGAGATGCTGACCATGGCCAAGGTAACCAGCTTCCTTCTCTTATTGCTCAAAGCATACATTCCACAGCTATTTTGCACCTGATTCTTTTAAAAGGTGTGCCTGTCTATGTTAAGCCTATGCTAATTCTGAGGTTTTCTGTTAGCCTATGCTGATGAAAGAATTTGTGACATTAAATGTTCCCGTATACATCCTAGTGATCTGAGCCTGAGTGCCAGGGAAGCCACTCTTTGTCTCTTTCCTAGAGAGTAAAGTCACCTTGGCATGGGGCTTGTCAGCATATGCAAAGGTGTAACTTTTCTCAGGCTGCCACTTCTTCATGATCACCTTAAGGAAAGCATTGCAAAATTAGATTTGTGGTTCCAGTTCAAGAGGTGTCTGGATCCTGGAGAAAAAAAAAAGGCATGTTTAGGGGAAGAAATAAAATGTGATGAAGGGCACGGTCCTATAGGTGTTGATAATTCTTGAATGAGGCTCCTTGTATCTGTCCATGGTGGGTCTCCTGGAAGCAGCTTCTTTGAGCTTTGTTCCAACTCTTTTTCATCCTTTGCTTCTCAAATCACTTCTTCCTTAAACTGTCACCTCAGTGCCACAAAGTAGTTGTACTATGGTGTGGAGTTCATTCTTATTTCTGAATAACCTGTAGAATAAATTACAAATATGTGTGACTTCAAATGGATTGAGAGTAGAGTTAAAGTCTGATGTGATGTGATAGTAGATAAATTTCCAAGCCATGTAAGACTGAAACTAAAGTTGCCGCAAAATGTACAATTGCTTAAATCCTTAGTTAATTTAAGTCTTTGATACAGAAATAATTAATGCCTATGTTTCACCTAAAAGTCCATTTCCTGGTCAAGCAATGGATAGAAAAATGATTATAAAAGATAACTCAAAAGTAACAGAACAATGACTAAACCAACAGGATTTTCATAACTAAAAACAAGATGAAATGTTCTTTTTGGAGATGGGGGTGATATATGATTCCAATATCTGGCAATATGAGATCTTTCCTCCTTCCAGACGTGTAGGTTTTCAGTCTACCAAAATCACTCAGAGTCTTGAATGGACTGACAACTCTTGGTGGATTTAATTTGTTGAGAGCTTTTTAAAAAAATCATATTAGCAGATTGCTTTCCAGAAGCTGTGCTGTCATGTTTTATATACTGATTTATATATACATATGAACCTTGCAATATTTCTTATTGCCATAAATAACATGCACTTTGTCGAGGTATGCACTGTTTTAGTCCCTGGAAATTCTGAAGAACTGCTATAATTCTATGACAAAGTTCTCTGTTAAAGGTAGAAAATGTTAAGCTAGAGATGATGAAAAAGGCAGATTTATGAGCCCGTCCCATTTAGCTATGGTCTTATTTACATCTTTTAAGCTAAGCAGATTTAGGTCTGATTAATTCTGATATGAGAGGTCTCCTGGAAAGCTCAAGGGGGGTTACTTTAAGAAGGGTCTGTCAGCATCTAAGTATGGGCTGCTTTTCCATTCAGTATGTATTAATGTAACAATATAAACTACTCCATAACACAGGTGCTAGACCTGTCAGATTTCTTCATTTTTCTAAATCAAATTAAATCTGGCTTCTGAGCCACCATTCAGCAAAGTCAAAGCATCTAACATTGGTCATTTTTCAGCTGGCCCACCTCTACTCTTAGGCTAGAAATGACAAGGTCAGGGCCTTCAGCCAGAGCCACACGAGCCGCACAGAACTTTCTGCTGCCACTCGCTGAGTCCCCACTGGGCGTCAGGCTCTGCTTTGTACCAAGCTGTGAAGATGTCACTGCACTCCCAGGGTTCCTCAACCGGCCAAGGGCAACCTCCCTGTGGGTCCGTGGCCATGACACTTCATGTCCACACCACCACCTCCTGTTTGCAACTCTGTCATTTCAGAGGCAGTGAAAGGAAGCTGGAGCCAGATTGTCACCTCTCTCAGCACCTGTAGCCCCATCTCCTCTCTAGGGGTTCAATGTCCCACATCCCAGTTGGTCCACTGACTTCTTTAATCCTCGAGACCCCAAAGCCTCTCTCTGCTCACCCCAGGGCATGATCCAGTTAACACTGGTTGCTAGGACATAATCCCCCTTTCCGCCTCTTGGTCTATAAGGCAAGGAGAGGACACCAAAAACACATTGCAACAAAAATATCTCAATAGTTCGGTGCTCCTACCTCTCAGTGAAGACAAAACCAAAAATAATTACCAGCAGGGCATTTAGAGTGCTGACAATTCTTTTTTCTCTACCTGATACATACTAGCCTAGTGGCCAAATCACATTCTGACAGGTCATTTTCTGATGCTTATTCAGATCATCCTCAGTGAGAATCTGAGTAAGGCCCAGCTTGAAAAACATCATCACTGTGGTGCCTTTTCCAGGCACACGATTCCTTGGAGAAAACTCTGAGCAGCTGGTAGTGCCCATCATGAGGGAGGAGTGGGCTGGAGATTAGGGAGCCCCCAGGAGGGGTGACTGATCTCTGAGGAGGCTCTGAAATCAGGCCCCCCACTTCTTCGTTTGTTACAGGTGGAGCACCCAAAGGGCTTCTCTGGCCAACGGGCAATTGTGTCTGCCATCCTCAGCGTGCTGTCACTCAACCTCCCCACAGCACCCCTGCTCAGCAACTGCTGGCTTTTGGGCACACAGAAGGTGCCCAAGCCCCTGTGCGGGAAGGGCCTGGCAACCAAGTGCCTTGATATTCCGATGCCCTCGGATGGGGATAGCACCAGCACATCATCCCAGGAGGTGGTGCAACATGGCAGCCGAGAGACTAGGAATGGCCACCTTTCCCCCCACACCTTCTGGAGGGGCATGTGGCTGTCCTGTGAGGAAATCATGGAAGAACCAGGTAGCCACCTCACCCCAGCTGCCTGAATTTTTCTCCCCAAGAGATCTTACACAGGCAAGAACTCGTGGGAAGTATATGGCATTCTCCCACACCCCAGTGGGCCCCGCCCCCAGGCTCGGCATCACTCCCCTCAGTGTTGTGTCTCTTCTCCATAGGACTCCCTTCTGAATAAAATCAAAAGTCCATCTGGCTTGTCTTCTCCTGACTGACTGGTAGATGTGCTGGTTTAAACTAGCATTACCCTTATAGGGTTTCACTTAGACTTTTAACATTTTGAGAGTTTCCCTTTATTGAGCTAGCATTAGAGACAAAACGAGGAGAGATGAATATTATAGAAAAAGCCCTGGCTGTGCCTAGCTGTGTCCTTATAGAACAGCTTCATTTCTACAGGCCTTGGTTTTCTCATTTGTGAGATGAAAGGATCAGAGCAGATCACCTTTAAACCCCTTCCTCCCCTCAAAAAGCGTTTTCTTATTCCAAATATTATTGTTGCACTTTAAAAGGTAGGGGAACAGAAGCCCAAAGAGGGTAACTAGATCAGGTAAGGACGCCCTTAAAGAGCTGAAGACAGACCCTCTCTGGTCGTCTGCCTCTCCGCACATGTGGCAAAGTGGGCCCTGTGTCACACGCAGTAGGTAACTTGCAGTCCTCAGCTTAGGAGCAGGTGCACTGAGGAAACCCCTCCTTCCTGCCCAAAGCACTCAAAGGTCATCTCTGGTGGTGAAGTTTTTCTAAAGCCCAGAATCCTGTACAATTTGTGATCTGCTACTTCTTCCGATTTGGGCTAAGGGGAAAAGGAGATGGAATAGGAATATAAGTATGTGGGTATTTGCCCTGATATTTATTATTGTGCTACTTAGCACAGGTCCAAACCCAGTCCTAGAAACAAGTTGGAGCCATTCAGACCAGTGGTAGGGCACCAGCAATGGGCATTGCCTGACACCAGGATCATTCTCTTCCTGACGCGGGAAGCGGAACCGTTTCCCTGTGTGGGCACGCCCAGGGGAACTTCTTCACCATCAGGAGTTGAGAGAGAAATTAATCTTGGATGACTCATGCCTCTGCGGCTCATCCCTGCACACATTGTTTACTGCTTTCAGCGAGAGATCTATTACCTGCCTTCTGCATGCTGGGCAGGCGCGGTGTTTGGGGATGGGGATGGGGATGGGAAGTTTGCATCCTTTCTGAGGAAGCTGTCCATGCAGTCACACCTTACCTGTGTTCCAGCAGCCAGGTGCCGAAGTTCCATTGAACTCAGACCACCAACCGAGAGAGATGAGAAAGGACTGCTGGGATTTGCCACGGTGCAAGGCCCATGTCACCCCATTCTCCGATGTGGAGAGAAGTGGTTGAGGGAGAAGACTCTCCTCCCACACCCTCCCTCGGGGCTTGTGGCAAGTATGTGGGTTTGATAACACATTTGGTCACCACGGAGTTGGGCCTCGGATCTAAACAGTTCTGTGATCTGCTTTTCCTCTGAGCCCCACGGGGTGACACACATTCCCTCCCGAGCTCTCATTCCTATACAGAAATGCCAAAAAAAAGGAACAGCAGGGACAAAGAAAATTCACAGACTGAAAACCACCAACAGCTCTAAGCCACTCTTGTTGCCAAGTAACCATGTTGAAAATCTCGGGTTTTCCTTCCCCCACCCCGCAATAATTTGTTTTGTAAAATAGAAGGGACTGAAGGAGGGAGGGATGGAAGGGAGGGGTAAGGAAAAGAAACAAAACTGCTTGTTCCAAAATGAGAGAAGGAACAAGAGAAGCAAAAGAATAAATAGCAAAGTTATGTCCCTGCAAGGCTTCACGAAAAGTGGGTGATTTCTTCTCCAATCTCCCGAACGGTATTTACAGTCAATCAAGTTTACTTGATAACACGGTGGGTACCGAGCAGAGAGAGAGCTGTGGGGGGTGATAACAGAGAACCCCCAGTTAAGGGATGCTCCTGGCTGGGCTCAGCTTTGTGTCCTTCCCCGTTTCTCTGATGTCACGAGGCTGTTCACGTCTGACCTCCTCCTTCGGGTTTGTTGGGTTCTTTGGCTGTTCACGTGAGGGCTTTTCCTCCGGTTTCTGACAGAGACCCTGTGGTTATCGCTGGGAGCCCCGTTCGCATACATTGGACTTGAATTCATCAGTTTCCTCCTGCTACTCACGGACCTCCTCCTGTTCACTGGGAACACAGGCTTCGGCCTCAAGCTGAGCACCTTGGCCACCGTTTCCTCCATCTCGGCAGGTAAGCACTTCCGAAGTTGGAGAGGAGGGTGGGTGTCCTCCGGGCCTTTGAGGCACCAGCCGGAAGGCATGAGTAACTGTCCCGAGTGGGGGAAGAAGACCGTGTGAAGAATGGACACTTAGGAGAGGCAGTATGAGTGTCTTTACGTGGAATAATGTGAAATTTTATATTAGGTCATTAGGTACTCTGCAAAATGATCTATCTCTAGGTTCTTTTTATTTGTACATTTTCTCAGTATGTGAAATGCAGTTGGTTTTCTTTTCAGTTGTGACATACACACAACTTTTTAAGACTGTTGGAGAAAGAGATGCATACAACAGCAAGCATGAAGTTCACGTTAAGGGAAAGGGTGGGAAGTAAGGAGGCGGCAGCCCCTAGGGCAGCCTTGACCCAGACACTTTTCCCATCACTCTAAACCTAAAGTCTGGGACAACCCATTGCAAAGTCAGGCCTTCAAGAAGAAGCCCCCATCGCAGACTCGTCTCCCTGGAAATGCGGTGGCACAGGGGTGACGAAGCACCTCGACATGGTCTGAACCTTGTGCACAATGAGGAGGCTGCTCCAAAATCACATTCCCTGTAGATGACAATGCCAGCCTTTCTCTGAGGGCGCTGCCCTCCTGTCCCCTCTGTAGGCCTTCTGGGGATGGTGGCCCATGTGATGTATTCACAAGTCTTCCAGGCAACTGCCAACTTGGGTCCAGAAGACTGGAGGCCACATGCTTGGAATTATGGCTGGGCCTTCCAGTAAGTGCTTGCCATCTCCTGAACCTTTCAGCCCCTTCTTCAGCCAACCTTCATTAGATTCTCGGCCCTCAACCAGATGCTTGCTCTGTGTCCTCCTGCCTTCCCTTCATCCCACATCCCAGGAGTCTGTCAGTCAAAGGACAGACCATCAGGCCACACCCATTCTTTCCCCTGCTTCAGAGAAAGTACCAAGAGAATCCCTCTGGCTTGTCTGTCAGGACGTCTCACCATCCAGCTTCTCTGCTGTAGCAGTTGCTTCCCGGCCACATGTGTGCGCTGCTCCTGGGGAAATCGTGAGACTGATTTAGTACAGCTTATGGAAATGATGCTCTGTATTTTATGTGTTTTATGATTCAAGGAATTGGAGGACAGGGAAATGGAGAGAATTTGCCTTAAAATTTAGATTCAATTCCATTCCCTTAGAATGGCTTACTTTTCTCCTATAATGAAGAGGGACTGCCTCCTACCTCCACTCCTAATCTACTAAATGGTGTTAGAAATCAAACTTCCCCTACCATTCTCTAACCCTTAAGGAACTATGGGGTCAGTCATTTTGGATTTCCCTTAGAGAAACCATAACAAACACATACATTCAAAGCAAGCTCCGCTTTCTCTCCTGAGGAACACTCACTCTCCTCACTGAGTAGGTGCCAATTTGGTCTGACATCAACTGTCTGGGTAAGTGCTATGTTCTTTAACAGTCTGAAAGTCATAGTGCTGGGCTGGAGTTTCCTTGCTAAAGGAGGCAGTAAGGAAACCTATATATGTCTGTCATGAGATCAGATCCCCTTTTCTCAGGATGTAATATGTGCTGTTTGATTCAGGGGTCTTTGGTCTACCAGCCACAGCATCTGTTGAGCTTACTCTCCAGACCCATGTTTCTCACCTGTTGTCTCTCTTCTCAAGTCATTCTTGCCATTGCAATGGCAGTGCTCAGACAACGAATCTCCCGTCTGCAGCCTCCCCAGCCTGAGTATTTAGTATGTCAGAGGCAACAGACAGGAACATGCAATGCCAGCCTGTGGCTGGGCTGTACCCACCACTGGACCTCATGGAACCCCTCATTTACCTCACACAACTTCTGGTTTCCTGGGCTTCCCAGAATCACGGGAAGATTTAGGGGGATTTAGAAAGTGTTTTGACTTTCCAAGTTTTTAAGAATGTGTTTGATATAGTTCCCTGGTATCTTTTTTGTTGAATCTATCCTGCTTCTCTTATCTCCAACCTCTCTTCCATCCATTATAAACTCCCGTAAGCTGAGAACCACATTGTTTTCATAAGTAAATCCCACTAGTGCAACCTCTAATACCTCCAGACTTGTAGAGACATTTCCTGAATGACTCTGAGGCTCAACTTTGTGACCCTAAGCCTGCTAAGCTTAGGCCAAGGGGGATGGAGGAGGGAGGATCATTCCCCGAATCTGAGTGAAGGAAAATCTCGGGCAGTGTGTGTGTGTGTCAAGGGTACGGAGAGCTGTAGTCCACGGGCTATGTTCACGCCGCACCGCTGAGTGACAGGCCTACAGGAGTTTGGAGATTATACTGGGATAACTGCACCTTGGGAAACGGGAGTCCAAAAACCAGTGTGTGTGTGTTTATATACATGTATAAAATAGGCACAGCAGGTATAACACAGCATGACACCAAGAAACTATTCAATTCAGGGAAACCGAATCCATTAACTCCTCGTCTGATTTTACCACTGTTTGAGTCATTCTCTTTTACTATGAAACATTCGGGCCGGGCCTTCCTAAGATGACCGCATTAAGTCCTCTCACCCAGCTCTTTGCCTGCACCACTGAGGAAGGCAGCACACTCAGCTCCTAAAATCCCTGACGGGCATCAGTCTCCTTTACTAACAGGAAGGGATTATGGTATTTTTCTTTCAACCCTGTAAGAATATCAGATTCTTACTGCCCGATTTTTCTGTGTTTGTCCCTAGCCTGGCCTGGGTTTCCCTCATTTGCTGCCTGCCATCGGCTGTCACTACCTTCAACATCCACACCAGGCTGGTGCCGGAGCTCAAGTGCAAACACAGGAAGAGCTTCAGAGGAAACCCCAGCTGCCTACCACCCCACCAGCAGCTGTCCTGCCCAGCCCACCCCCGTGGGCCCTGTGACCAGCTACACCAGTGCCCCCCAGTCAGCCTATACACTGTCTCTGACCGGGCTGACTTCTACTCAGAGCTACACGGAAGGGATTTCAGCAAGGCACCAGCCAGGGTCGAAAAGAGTAGGCGGCTGAGTCATCTGCAGAGAACTGTGTTAGGTGTAAGTGGGTTTGCAGAGCAGGATGAGCCCGACCTTACATGTTTGTTCTCAACATGAGCTGACACCAAACTCTGTCTCTTGTGCATGGTTTTTGGAGGTCATCTTAAAGGTCGCCCAAAGGGGTGCATGCTGGGGTGCCATGGCTTGCTTTTCCTTTACAGCTCCATCGGGCATCACCACCCCCCACCTCACACATTCAGAATTCCCTTCTCTCCCTTACTGATTGCTTGTTATGTGCCAGGATCTGGGCTAACCAGTGGTGATGGAAAGAGAAGTAAAATACAGTGCCCGCCCTTTAGTGGCTTATCAGTGTGGTCCTCTGCCTGGGACCTGGAGGCATGGAGGCGGGCAGGTCAGCAGTGGGGACTGCAGCTCAGCTGGCCACGGTGCACTGGGACTTTCCTCAAGTCACAGAATGGATGACGAGGCACTGGTGGGAGCTGTGACGTGGAGGACAGAGGTCCTCCACACTATTAGAGAGCCCTGCACTCACACTACAGGGGCCTAATGGAAGTCTGATTGAATATTATCCAGGACACCACTGGGAGACTAGCACACATGAGCAGGCTCCTACGACATGCAGGGACAGGTCTGCCAGAAACGGCCCAGGAGGTTATTCAGAGAGGACTATGGTTCCTCCCTGGAGACCCACAGGGAGACCTCCCTGGCCATCAGGCAGTGGCACACACACAGTCCTCTCTGGATCCACCTTCTCATCCATCCACTGGCCCTTGCTTGTCTATAAAGAAAACAAACCATTCTTGATGCCGAAGAAGAATGACAACGACACACTGCTATGTTTCCCACACGGAGTTATTTATTTTGTAACAATTCACATTTGAAATAGTGCTTCCTGACAGCACCCCAGCTGGCCCTTCTTTCACGTGGGCAATAAGGACAGCAGTTCACATTCAGGGGGGTTGGTAGGGCCATGCCTCACGAGAAGGTGAGTGCAGACCATCTCGGGGATGGGGAGAATGATGTCCAGAGTAGAGGGGTTCAGAAGGGAAGGAAACAGGAGAGGTTCGGAGGAGGAAGACCCTTGAATTTGCAGACATCATCACTATTCCTAAATAGTGGTCATATAGGCTTTGTGGGCAACCCCATGCTGGCAGTGGGGGGAAAGAGGAGCACCTCCCATCTCAGATGTCTGGTTGGGTGACTGCCTCGGAAGAGAAGGAAGTTTAGGGACACGTTTGACAGGAGACCAGCACCCACACCCGTCACATGAAGCTTTGTCCATCTGCATTTACACCCTCTGCACTGGCTGCAAGAGGAAGAAGAAACCCGGAGCTTGCACCCTGTTTAGTAACGAGGGAGCAAACTTATCACGGTCCAAAAAATCTGCTAGGTCAGTGTGCAGACGCACCATGAAGATCGGAGGAACACCATGTTCTTCCGACTTCCTCTTATGTATGTTTCTGGGACTCACCCAGCATAAATACAGTCTTCTGCCCAAAACAACCCTCCCAGACCAGTTCTCCAGTAAACAACTTTGCATTTTGCTCCTGCCTGAAGTGGCTGGCTTCCCCGAAAGGCTCAACCTGGAAGAGCACCAGGCTTAGACCTAGCTGGCTCAGCCCAGGCCGCAGGACCACCACCCAAGTTGTAGGTGTTCAGGCGACTATAAATGAGTCCTTAGAATTCTCTACTAGACCCAACTAGACCCCAGGCTCTTCTACCCACGTAGATTCACTAGGAGTGAATCTGGAATCATCCCTGTACTCCTGGGGATCCTCACGTTGTTCCCCAGGTTTACAATAAGCTGGACTCACACATGCCTTCTGAAGTGTTCAAACCTAATTTGCTTGCAGGGCCTTGAAGCAGGGGGTTGACCAGAACACGATGGGGCCGATCTGCAGGCAGCTGCTGCCGACCTTCTGTCATGTCATGATGCCTCCCGGTGGGCAACTGAGAAACACCCTTTCAATCTGGGATCCCCAGTTTTCTGTAATCTCTAACTTTTCTGGAATCCCTTTATTAACACAAGCTAAGAAGATACAGGCTCAAGTAAAACCTGAGCTGTACTCACGGATGATCTTTTGAAATTATTCAATAATAAAAGCAGTTCTCCCCCAGCTAATGTGGGATCTTCTGCTATATAAACAATGACCTAGAAGCTTAGGAGAGAACTTGATAGAAATAACACATTTATATAGCAGAAGGGAGAAGCAAGCACTGGAGAAGATCCCAGAGAACTTAACCAGTTATAAAAGCTATAGTATTTACATAGGAATTTTCTCAAAAGACAATGCTTCAAAGGCTCTGCAAGGAAGGAGGTGAGCAGGGCAAAATGGCTGCATACCAGAATCAAGAAGTAAAGCCCAGAAATAGCTCTGCTCTCATGAGGGCAAAGCAGAAATGTCCCTGAAAAGGGGGGCAACAGGAGAGTCAGAAAGGAGGCCGCCCAGCAGGAGGGAAGCTGAAAGCGAAGCAGAGGTGAAGCCAGGTAAGGGAGTCGCCTCGGTCCTTCCTGACTCTGGCTACCCTGCGCATTGAGGCCGCCACTCACACGTAAGCCCTCTGAAGGTTCTGCAGTAAAAATGGCCGTGACGGGCAGAATGATCAAAACCACGGAACCCATGGGCCTGGGCGGCAGCGGGCCGTGGACACCACTTGTTCCCCTTCTGATAGGAACATGGTTACTCTGTGGTCACTGCCTATGTAGAGATGGAAGGTATGAGAGGACAGGACACCTGAGACAAGAAAGAGAGGACAGTGATGGGTGGCTGACTCAGTCTCCCCCTCTCAGGCTTTCTCACTGCTGCTGAGCTGGAAGAGGCCAAGGCAGAGGTGGGGAGAGAATAAGGACAGAAAGGAGTGGCCTCAAAAACAGAGGCAGGCGATCTGGATGTCTCAAATGACCCAACAAACCAGACGTATTTCAGAATAAGAAACTGGGTCCCTGGAGCTTAGAACACATCTAGAAAATATTACATTGTAACACTAAAAAATATACGACGTGGCATAAGGCAAAACAAAATGTTCCAGTGAAGAACTTTCACTGGATTTCCCAGTTTAAGTTTATAAATTAGACATACAAAAAAGTAAAACACTTCTCAGATTCACATTTCCAAACTGTCTACACAGAGTGCCGAGAGGGGGTCAATGCAGGGACCGGAAGGCAGGTAAGAGACCCCAGGCACCGGGGCTGTGCTGTCCAAGCACGCAAAGCGCCTTCCCACGTGCCGCAATCACGCAGAGGTGGGGAAATGAGGTGGAGTCTTCCTTCTCTCCAAAGAACGGCTTTACACTGACAGGAGAGAGTGGCCCTCTGTTCACTTCTTCTGAAACGGATAACTTCCATCGTCTACATCTAGGCAGAAACGTACACGGATCCATGACTCACTTCTTCATGGCAGAGAAGAGGAGGGAACCTAAAGGGCAGAAGAGTCCTCTTTTCCTGCCCTTCTGACTGGCCCCAACCCCCCAGTTCATAAGTGTCCCTCCAGAAAGGCACAGAGGCTTCACCTTCTGCCACGCTAAGCTCCTGAACACTGAACTAGACCACACTGTTTGGGCAGGGCGGGGAGGAGCCCTCTGAGCACGGTGATGCTGTGCAGTGTGTAACTGCCACAAGCCCTGCACGACATTAGCCCAGCAGCTCCCACCCAGGAAATACCAGAAGGATTTCCACCCCCTCAGTCCCTAGGACAGAAACTATGCCTCTACATTTCCAAGGGTCCCCCCAGGGGAAGCAGTACCAGTTCCAGCTGAAAACAACTCCCTAACAGCCCTGAAGCACCTTTAGAAACAGCCTGGGTTCAAAGCAACTGTTTCTAAATTCTGAGCTACTCATGACAGCTCCCACTCTCCCTGCATCTAAAGAACAAAGTTGGACTAGGTAATCCTTGTTCTAAACCTCAGTAGTGACCAAATATTTCTTTCAGAAGCCATTCACCTAATAGGGAGAATCAACAAACTTTATCCTAGAGAGGAATCTTCGCAGCTCCCCACGGCCAATTTTGGGGGTGGTGTCCTTTAGCTGGACCATCTGGCCCTCCATCAGTGCCCACCGGAGACTGAGCTTGCTGACCACCAGGGGTGCCGGACGGCCTTCGGAGCTTGGCCCTGTTCTCCTCGTAACATAAAAGGCATCTTTCCAGAGGTCGTTAATTCCAACTGAGGAAGGACAAAAAGAAGGGCAGTTAACAATAGAAAACTTTAGCTAACAAGAGATTGGTTTGCTTCAGCAACTAGATTCATTCATTATTTACTCCTTCATTAACTCAGACAAGAAGTTTCCTAAGCACCTAATAAATGCAAGGCCCTGAGCTAGGCAGACAGTAGGTGCACAGTGTGAATGACTAGATGTCAGCAAAGCAGTCTTTGTACTTTTCCTTCTCCGAAGCTGCTTCTAAGACCTAAATCAGGAAATGAGAGGATTTGCCAATTATAGTGACAGTTTGGTAGGAAAGTGACCACAGACTAGAAATTCTGGGAATTCCTAGGTTGCCAGGATATGGTCACATAAGCTATTTACCCAGCCAGTGTTCATTTTGCCTCATCTCTACAACAGGTGTCATCACAAAAATGGCCTAATTCTTAATTACGATTATTTAATGTGCACTGAATAATATTTTATGCTAGTATTGAAATACAGCTGGTTTAGATCCAATCCCAGGACTCTGCAAGCTGACACCACCCCTCCCCGCCCCCCACCACACACAGAGCCAGGGGACAGGTGTGCATCTAGGTTCCAGATCAGCTGTTCTTCCCAGTGTATCCCAATAAACAGAGAAGCACAAACACTAGCTTCAACTTCAAAGCAAATGAGTCTGTAAGTAGAGAGCAAGTGTTTGAATGGCAAAAGAATATGGGAGGAAGTGGCTGTGTAGTCTTCCTTTTCCACACCCCCTCCAGGAACAGCAGATGCCCTGAGGTCAAGGGGAGGCAGGAGCTCAGAGTGGGGGACCGTCAGATGCTTCCAGACTAAGCAGGGCACAGTGGCTGAGCTCCTAGAGCTTTCCTTTCCTGAACTGTAGATCCATAGTATATGATTCAAATTTTGCTATACAAAATTATTTAGGTACAAGTGTAAAGTAGAATACTTCCCAAATATCAGC